GAAAAGGGTAACTATTGCATTGTTCTGTACACCTGAAACTAACAATAAAAAAAAAAAAAAAAAAAAGAAGGAACAACCAGCCTGGAGCAGAAGGGTACAAGAGCCCTAGGAGGAAAGAAAATAGAAGAACTGATGGATCATCTAATGCATTTGACCATGTGGAAAACTGTATTGAAAGGCTGTGACAGAACGTGGGAAGACTTAACTACAGGAATAAAGAAATGAAACAGATGAAAACACAGGGTAGAAGGACAGACGACTGCAAGAAAGGATGTAGCCAAGAAAAGAACTGAGCTGATCCACTCTTGTGTTTCTATGGAGAGTTTTATAGTTCTATGAGAGGATTTTGGGGATGCAACTGAGACATAGAAAGATAAGGCAATTATTAAATTCAGGAAAAACAAAAAGCTGTCTGAGACAGGAAATGCTATTATTGGCGTATTACATGACTCAGCTGTGAACAATATTATAAATTAACAATAACATAATATAGATTTAATCAAAAATTGAAATATAACTATATTGTAAAGATTAGAATAGGATAAATGTATGTGCACACATGTGTTTGTATGCACGCGCCAGTTATTACACTATTGTGCCTCGACTTCAAACCCGCCCCTTACTTTGCTCTGTGATTCTGGGGTGGGGACTCCATAAACTAAACGTCTCCCTTGCCATCTAGCTCCATGCTAGGCTCTGTTCATAGGGGAATTAGAAGGATGTTGCAGAGCTGGTGGAGGAAGAACATATGTCTTCCTGTCTATTTCCTTCTCTTTCGATGTTTACTCATTAATTTATTCAGTTATTCAACAAAGATTTATTGAGTGACTATTGTGTGCTAAGCACTGTTCTAGGTGTTTATATTCATCAGTGACAATATCCCTGCCTTGGTAGAGCTTACCTGCCAGTCGAGCAAGAGAGATAATAAACAACGTACAAAATAAATAAATTACATAGTGTTGTAGGGAAAAAAGAAGAAGAGTAAGGGTGATTGGGAGGGCATGGGTTAGGAGTATTAACATTTTAAATAGGGTAGTCGAGGTAGACTTCTTTAGGAAGAAGATATTTGAGCAAAAGCTGGGCCTTGAAATGAGAGTAGGCCTGGCATGCTTAAGGAACAGTGCAGAGGCCAGTGTGGCTGGACTGTATGAAGAAAAGGTGAAAGGAGTGAGAAAGCTGAAATTGTTTGCCTTTGGGAGAAGGCACCTGTAGGTGAGGAGGGTTTGAGCAGAACACTGCTTTTCTCTATTGTAAGTCATATCTGGTAATTTAATTTTTTAAACCGTGAACAGGTGTAACTTTTATAAAAATAAAAATTACATTTTAAAATGATGAATCACAAAATGCAATATGGTGTCCTGAACCGGATCCTGGAACAGAAAAAGAATGTGAGTGGAAAAGCTGGTGAAATCTGAATAAAGTCTAGTTAATCACAATGCGCTAATATTGTTTACTTTGTTTTGACAAATATACCATGTAATGTAAGATGTTAACATTAGGAGTAGCTGGATGAGAGAGATACGTACATCTCTGTCTTATCTTTGCAACTTTTCTGTAAATCTAAGATTATTCTAAAATAAAAAGTTCATTAAGAAAAAAAGCCTTTGAAACAAACAGAAAACGGAATCAGGTGGTAAGATGTTGCCTTTCCCTTCCCCCAACCCCACCCTGTTGTGGGTTTGAGCAGTTGGTTATTCATCTGGTAGAAGGATGACGTGACTTATCCACGGACCTGGGCTGATCCCAGATGGAAGGAAAGGCCAGCAGGGAAGACTGTGGATCACATCTGTGGAGCATCCAGCTTACAGGTCCTTAGTGGATGACATTCAGAAGCTAAGAAGCAGAAACCGGGACAGAGGCGTTTACGCAGAAAAAACATGACTGTGCAATTCTCTTAAGTTTTTAAAAAAGCAAAGTTCCAAAAATATCTTCACAGGATTTCACTTCTTGCTTAATCTCCGTCTCCAGTGAGCTGTAAAGTTAAAGGAGTGGCTTCAAAGTAGGAGTAATTCCATACGCTTGATTCAGTGACTTTTTCCTCACTTAAAACTTCCTAAAACGTTTCGGAGGGTGCCTGTCTAGGTGTCTCTCATTGATGCTAAAATACGAGTATTGTCTTATGTCACTGCTTTATATGTGTACTTTTATGTTCTTTAGTATGGGAGTTACTAGAAAGTTGTTTTAAAAAATTTTAGACAATATTTAATGTTAAAAAACAAAAAAGCTTGATCTCTGGTGCCAATGCTCTGAGACTATTAGCCTTCTACTCCTCTCCCGGGGAGTCTTTTTCTAGTATTGAGGAAATCCTTTTCTGTTTACGCTTCTTCCATATATTCTGCTTCTATCCACCATCCCTCTCCTCTCTTGTGCTTACACTTTTTGAAATAAAGGTCAGAAAGGAAAGTATTTTTCATGTTATTTTTGTTTTCTGTCCTACCACATACCTCCCCTAAGATAAAGCAGGCGACACCTCAAAGTTGGGGTGAAAGGAAAAGGAAAAGAGAAAATCAGAGAGGAAAAAAAGGCATTTCAACATAGTATTATCCAGCCACATTTGGTCCACTTTTCTGGCTTCCTGGAGTCTGCATGGTGTATTTCCTGGGATAGTGGGCAGGTCAGTGGTGGTAGATAATCAGCATTCAGAAGTTAATTTTGATTTTATTTGTTTTCTCCAAACCTTTTTAAAAAGGTACATAAGAAGTACATATTTCTTGCAGAAAAACTTAAAAGAACAGATAGACAAAATAGTAAAATTCATTAAAAATCACTTGTAATTTCAGAAATAATCACCCTAGTCCAACATACCACCAACCACTCAATGCAAGAAAGCAGAAACAGAAACGAAGGAGGAAGCACTGAAGCTGTGAGCCTCCAGCTCTAGAAGCTTCTGAGACTCAGTGGCTGCCTTTCTTGTGGCTTGGTGGTCATGTTTGGCCCATGGCTGATCGTCACTGTCACACTAATCTTCTGTGTTGGATAGCACTCTTTTGGTTGCCAGTAATGGCAACCTAACTTGAATTTATTTATACAAAAATAAATAGAAAACAAGATGTCTGCTCAGATCTTATAAATTTGAATATCAGCTCTATGTGGTCTTTAGCATGTTACTACCATCTTAAAATCTCTGCTTCCTCACCTGGAAAATGGTACCCATCTTTTTGTGAGGTTGTCACAAGGATTGAAAGAAATAAGGCATGTGCCTGGCACGTGGTAACCACTCCATAAATGGTAGGTAGCATTGGCATAAACTGAGTAGTATCTGGTCTCCAGGGGAGTGGGGAAAGCTGTGTTGTTAGCATGTTATTACTGGAGGAAGTTGGAAGGCAGGAAACAAGGCAGGAGCTTTTCTTCTCACATGTACACCCTTATAAGGTCCACCACAACCTGCTGCAAGGACTGCTGGTGTGGACAGCTGTGCTGCTGACCTCCCCCTCACCAGGTGACTATGTTTTGACTAACAGGCAGGCCCCTGTAGCCAGAGTCCAGGAGAAATCCAAACATCATCAGTCATGGAGGGAGATTTTTGCCACAGGTTATCTGGGGGAGCTGACAGCTTTGCAATTTCAGATGGTGGTTTCAGACCTGCGGATACAGAAAATTATGTGAAACATCTCTGAGAGTTTAGGGCTGCTCCTTCTACTGAGTCTCCACTCACACATTGTATATATGTCCTATGTCTATCTTTCTGTCTTTATGGGTCAAATCAAATTTTTTTGGGGGGATGTATTTAGGGCCTAGTTAATAAAATACATAATGAAAAACCAACCAAATTCTGATAAGAAATGGTAACATTAATCTCTGCTTCTTAGATCTTCAACTCTTCCTACTGAACATTCAAAGGTTCTTAATGAGATAGTCATTGAAACACACCTGGAATGTAATGCACTCTAGTCTGCAGAGCCAAGTCAATGTCACTGTTTCCACCAGAATTTGTGATGAACTAACATATACAAATAATAAGATCTGGTTTGAGATGGCCTCGGATGACATACAGGCTCAGAAGGAACGTGCTGTTTTTCAAGTCCCAGGTTCAGGTTGGTGAGGTCAAAGAGGATTTTCACTTCCTGGGCACTAGGCCTGTAGTTCAGGTAAACGTGCTACTCATGTCAATCATGAGCTTGTGATCCAAACAGACAGGTTTATCCTAAGTATGGGTAACTGAGTCACAAACTATAGCACCCCACCTAGCCCATTTGTTTTTCTCTTACCAAAATAAAACACACCATTAAAACTGAACAGCCATTAAACAATTTCTAATGTTCACCCTACATACAAGGCAACCTGCAATTTAGAGCAAGCTATAGAGAGATAGACTCATCTCTTATTTTTCCCCCCACCAATCTGCTTCCATGGCTGGGAATCTTTGTTTAATCTGTCTCCAGGTCTCTCATTGTGTTTGAGAAAAACACTCACTCTGCATCTTCTGTGGCTTCTCCATGTCCCAGTTCCAACTTCAGGAACCCTGTTAAGTGCCATCCAAGTTGTAACCTAAAGCCTCTGGGAGGCCCAGGCTTTCTCTGTGTGAGACAGTTATCAGTCCTCATTATCAAACCACTCATTTCCCCTTTGTTGCTTTGTGTAATAGAGAAAGCTTCCTGCTTCTGGTGACTTGGCAAAACACTGAATAAGACAGAGAGAGATTATGGACATAGCAGGTGTGCACAGCAGGGGCCTTCCCAAGTCTCTTCTGTGGTCCTTTCCTAACCAGAGGAGTCATTGGTTTCCCTTTTCAAAGGCGCTGCTCTACTTTGCATGTCCCAGGGCAGGGAATATATAGCTCAATGATTACATTCAGAATAAAGATCTTCCTGCTCTAGAGAAAGTTCCCAGAACACATCTACCACGGTCATATTAATTTCTGGAAATTAATTTTTACTTTTATCAAAGAAACACATCTAAGATAATTTTTACTTTTACCTATTAATTTTTACTTATGTAAATTTTACATGAAAAGTTAAACAATGCCAAGAAGCTCATGAGGAAAAACAGCTGTCTCCTGTTTTGTTTACTCTTAGAGAGCGATTTTTTTAGTTCTTTTTTTTTCTTTACTATATCTCTTTTTTTTCTATGTGCATGCATATATTGTTGGTTTAAGTCATGAATTTCGATTTTATTGGCTTTCTCATGGGTTAAATGGGATATAGCTTTTTTTGCTGCCCCCCACCTTCACTTCCCACTCCACTTTCTGCCAATGTAGCTATCTTGCAATTTTGGTTAAATCTGATTTCAGTATCTGTATTATTGTAATGATGTAACGACTGTTCACTGCAGAGCCAAAGACTGTATTGTAATTATGCTTTCTTTCTTTGCTTAAATTTCTCATTTCTGATGGATGGCTTCTTAACACGATTGTTCATGTAGTTAAATGTATCAGATAATTCACCAGATAAATGATCTTTCCTGCTTCCGCCATCTTGTTGGTCTCTGGGCCAGCTATGCATCTATGGATCCAGAATTCCCCATCATTATCCTGGAAATCCCCTTTGACTCTCACCTGTGTTTAATCTCATTTCCTGGTCCCATGTCTTTCTCTTTTTTGGTTTCTTAACTCCCTCATTCTCATGGATCACATTCTCAAATAGCTTCTTGAGAAAGGATGCATGGGAGAAAAGTTTTTTGAGATTCTCAATTTTGAACTTTTCTTTTTCCTCACACTTGACTGATATAGCTGGGTGTAGAATTTAAGACTGAAAATCATTTTTTCTCTTAGAATTTTGAAAACATTGCTTCATGTTTTCTAGCTTCCAATATTACAGCTGAGATGTGGCCATTCATATTCCTAGTTATTTTGATGTAACTTTTTTCTCCCTGCCTTTAGGAACTTCTATTCCTGGTGTTCTAAAATGTTATCATGAAGGTTGGCCGAGTAGTGTGTTGGTTAGGAGTTGGCTTGGGATGCCAGCTCTGAGCAGCAGGACCCCGGTTTGGATCCCACATGAGGGACAGTGATGCTGTGCCCTCTACAGCTAAGATGGTGAAGAACAGCTCTACCTGGAGCTGGGCTGCTGTGAGTCGCCGGCGATGGCTAGGTTGCAACCCCTGCTGCAGTGGACTGCCATAAGCTACTGTGAGTGGCTGGCAGCCAGCGTGAGCAGCCAGCAGCTGCTGTGAGCTGCCGTGAATGGCCATCCAATGGCTGGCGAGTGACTGCCTCACCCGGGAAGAGCGCAATGATAATACCAACATGGGCCAGTGAAGCGACGTCCTCCACAACTAGACTGAAGAACAAAAGGACAGCAACCCTTCCCTGATTCTTCAATGCTGTTCCCCTCCCTCAATTCCCCAATAAAATCTTTAAAAAATAAAATAAAATAAAATGTTTCATGATATGGATTGTATTCTTGTGCTGGCACTTAACAGGCTCTTTTAATTTAGAAACTCAAGTCTTTTAGTACTAAGATTTTTTTCTTAAATTGTTTGATAAATTTCTTTCCTTTTCAAATTTCTATTTTCTATTTCTAGAATCCTTAATTGGATATTGGACTCCCTGAATTGATCCTCTAATTTTCTAGCTCATTCGCTCCTATTGTCCATCTCTTTGTTATTTTGTTCTGCTTCCTGGGAGACTCCACATGTTATTGTATTATAATTACTTTTCTTTTATTTCTCTTTTGTAAGGGCATTATATTGTATTTTTAAAACATTATGAGTAAATTGATTATTTTAACTTTGAGTTTCATTTCAGATAATAAAGGGAATGTTTCAAAATATTTATTTTAAAAATGTGTTGGCACCTACAGCATGGTCCAATCTGGGAATAATTATGCTTCATGAAAGAAGCCAGGGAAAAGGGGTACATATAAAATTCTTGAAAATGCAAACTAACCTATAGTGACAGAAAGATCAGTGATTGCCTGGGAATGGAGGATAGGACAGGGAGTGGCAGGAGGGGGAGACTACACAGGGGCACAGGAAACTTTTGGAGGATGGATATGTTTGTTATCTTGATTGTGGCAATGGTTTTATATGGGTAGAGGCATATGTCAAACTTTCTAAATCGTACACCTTAAATATGAGCTGTCTATTATGTGCCAATTATACCTCAGTAAAGCTGTTAAAAAAAAGGTGTTGGGTCTGATAGATAGTGTTGAGGCCACTGCTAGGGGCAATTGAGCAATGATGGGATTTTTGTACTGAGGTGCTTCTCAATGTCAGAATCTATAGCGTCTGAGGTTTTCTTCCAAGTGTGATTCAATTCTCCAGATCAAGATGCTCCAATCTCCCTCAGAGGGGTTATGAATCTGGCTGCTAGCATTCTTGGAACTAAGCAGGGGAAGGGTGAGGGGGTCTCACTATTCAGTGTGCAGACTTTTATTAATCCCTTGTTTTCAAGCCACCTCCTCGCCCCAGCTTCCTCTCTGCTTGCTGTCCCCAGTCAGGTGCCTCTCTCATTCCTGTTAATATTTACAGGTCTCTTCTTCTAGAATGCATGGTTTAAACATGCTCAAATAGAACAACTATGAAAAATAAAAACATTTTTTTGGTAATCATTTATTTAGATAACTCTTGGATGGCAGATCAGTAGGTTACTAAGTAAGATCTGGACAGACATTTGGGGTAGGGAGATGACATTTTAACTTTTTGTGGAGGATGCTGATAAGACAACTCATTTGCCCACAGACAATCCCTTGCTGCCACTGCCAGAGACAACACCAGGTAGGGTGTAGCAATTCAGATGTTCTCACACTTGGACTTCAGCAACTACAAGTCAGGGACCTGGAAAGGATTCAGGTTATGTGGCGCCTACGTTTGTGGTGGAGCTTTAAGGTCTTCATAGGAAGGCTCTGGGTATAGATGATCATGAGGATTGCAAGTGCCTGGGGATCAGCGTTCCCTGTGTGCTCCCGGCAGGGACTCCCCATCCTTTGTGAAGGCAGCGGTGCTCCTGCCATTTTAACAGGAGCTACCACTTGGTGAGCACGGAACTCTGTGCCAGGCACCATGCTAAGCACTTTCCATAAATTATTTTAGTGATTTCACAATAATCCTATTGTTTGTATCCCCATTTCACAGAGGAGGCTACTGGGACTCAAATAAGTTAGATAAGATGCCCAGAGTCACTGAGCTAGGAAGTGCCTGAGACAGAACCACACCAGACAGGCTCCAGAGCAAGAGATTCCACCTGAATCCGAATGTACTTCTCTCAAAAACTCCAGCTGTGAGAATATTAAGTAGAAGTTGAGGACTAAGGGAAAACTCTTTGGGGTCATTCTTGCTAGGGCTATGTGAGGAGAGCAAGTGACCACAGGTGGCAGTGAAGCAGGAAACCACTTGTCTTCCTGCCTGAAATATAGAGGGACAACATCCTTCACAGATCATGCCTAACATGTCATGGGCTTGATGTCAGGAGACCCAGGTTCAAGTTCCCTCTCTGCTACTCTCTCACTGTGGGACCTTGAGTGGTCACTGATCTCTCACTGGACACTGACACTGGGCCTCAATGTCCTCATCTGTTAAGGAGGAAGATCTGATTGGACAAGTCTAAAGTTCTTCTCAACTTTAAAATGCTGAGAGTGCATGTGTTTCTCTGTCCCAGGAGGATTTGTATTGTGGAATGAAAGGCCTTTTCCTGCTGTCTCAGAGAGGCATTTTGTCGATCAGAGGGTCCTCTTCCAAAGCCCTGAACTCAACAGCCTTGAGTAGCTGTCTACACAAGGGCAGCCCTCTCCTGTGCTGGTCTGCGTAAGCAGGGGGGTGAAGTCGCACACCCTGCCCTGCTCCAGGCAGAGAGCTTGTAAGGACTTACTCATGTCTGAGTGCTGCTGGCAGCTGTGACTCACTGCTGCACTGCGATTATGTAAGTGCCCAGGGACAGGCAGCATTACATACTTGCTGGCAGCCGCAGACCTCTCCCACTTATTCACTAATTTTTAATCCTTCTTTTGGAAACAAGCTTCTTTTGAGTTCATCTTTGGAATGGAAATGGAAGGATTATTGGAGAGCAGGCAGAACAGGAATTGTCCATTAGTCAGAAAGAACCCTGGAATCAGGGTGTGGGATCCCTGAGTCCTGACTTACCCTGACTTACTCCTCTCTTTGCCCCCCTCCTCCTTCCCACCTGCGTGGTCCACCTCCCCTCCCCAGATGTACCCAAGGGTAGTGCCACCCACAGCAGGAGCCTCAGGCAGGAAAAGTGAGGCCCAGAGAAGGGACCATCCCTGGGGACATGCAGTGAGTAAATGTGTGTGCTTTGTGAGGAGGGGGGGACAGAGGAATAGAACTGCTAAGATTCTACAGCTGGGGCAATGACCTCAACAACATTTCTGTAAGGAAAGGATAGAAACCTGCTTCTGAGATTCCTCCAATCAGATTGCACACTTTAGCCTCAGCTGTCATTCCAAGGGAAAGCTGTAGCTTAGATTTTAGCTTCCTCCCCATATCCATTGCCCGACATCTCTATTGTCCAAGATTTGTTCTGCTTTCAAGTTTATTTCTCCTTGTGTCCCTTCACTTGACTAATGCTCACCTGCCCACCTACACTCCTAAGCTACTCCCTACAAACAAATATGAGCCTCCTCCCTTATGTAAACCCATTGCTCTTTCTCTGTCTTTCCTTTTGTAAATTTTTTTGAATGGGTGAATCTGCCCTTGCTGTCTCCACTCGTTCACCTCCCAGTTGTGTCTGACTCGACAGAGCAATGAACTGATCTGTCCCTGTGATCCCCTGTGACCTTCTCACCGCTCAATCCCCTGGCCTTTTTTTAGTCCTCATCCAATTTAACCTTGGCAACATGTGACACGCTGACCAGCTGCTCCCTCTTTTAACTCTTTCTTCTCTTGGCTTCTGTGACCCATCGCTTTACTACTCCATCTACCTCTCAGAAATAATCACCTCCTTCTCAGTCTCTCTTGTCATGTTCTCTTCCCTGGCCTGGACACCACCTATATGTGTATGTACACACATGTATTTGTAGGTAGGCATGGACTGATTCCCTGTCTGTTTCCAAAAAAGATTCAAACAGGTGACAGAAATAAGCACCACATTAGGATAATAAAAATAGAAAGAGATGGAAGTGGTCGGGAATTAAGAGTAAGTTGTAGCTGGTCTAGCCAGTGGCTCAATTGGTTAGAGCATGAGCTCTGAGCAACAGGGTCCCCGGTTTGATTCCCACATGGCCCAGTGAGCTGTGCTCAAGCTGAGCTGCCTCTGAGTTGCCAACGGGTGACCGGGTGGCTCAGCTGGTGAGAGCGTGTGCTCTCAACAACAAGGTTGCCAGTTAGATAGGCTGTGCTCTCCCCCCACCTCCCGTCCCCCCCGCAACTAGACTGAAAGCAGCGACTGGACTTGGAGCTGAGCTGCGCCCTCCACAACTAAGATTGAGGGACAGGACTTGACTTGGAGGTGATGGGTCCTAGAAAAACACAGTATTTCCCTTCCCCAATTCCCCAACACTATTCTCTTCCCTAATTCCCCAATAAAATCTTAAAAAAAGAATAAATTGTAGCCATAATAAATGAAGAATGCAAACCTTTATCCAAAAGTCACTATAAAAATCATTACTCCACCCAACAAATCTAATCATGTGACTTACCCACAGAAAAGTCCTTGATGATGCATCATTGCCCAACCCTTTAGCTTAGCCTTTCACAGTCGGATCTCAGTGTGCTGTTCCAGCTCATTTGCTGTCTCTGGACTTTGGTGCAAGTTTATTCCTCTGTTTAGAATATGCTGTACTCACTCCTCTTTCTCTCGTTGGCCATTCAACTCTTACCTACTCTTTTTTTAAGACAGTTCCAACATCACCCCTGCTGTGAAGCCTTTCCTAGCTCCTCCTGTGATAGTTATCCCTCTATAAGTCTCAGTTTCTGCACCTGGACAATAGGAATAATAGAGTCGACTTCACTGTGAGGATAAATGAGACATAGGCAAAGGGCTTCACACAGTGGCTGGCATAATGTAAGCATTTAC